CGGTTAAATGTAACTGAATCCAAAACACAAGCTAAGCTAATCTACGTAGGCTACATTAGACTGTTCTTAGACAACTGTGGTTTTAGTATTCTTCGTGATACCCACCAGGAATGTACAGAGAAAGGATGCCTTAAGGGATAGCTGCTAATTCTGAACTAAATCGAACTGGGAATTCAGTCTGAGAAGTTTCACAGCATATAGTCCACATCAGACATTACTTCGTTGCTAGTGAAAGCTTCCCGCTTTATCATCCGTAACAAGGAGCGCTGCAGTTCCAACAGAAAGGGGTTTGTTTGTAGTAACAGCATGCAGTGCTGTTACCCTGTGCATGCACAGAGTGATAGTTTATTTGTTTTGTTTTTCTTTTCCTTAGTGGATACCCAGAGGGTATTAGAAGCCTCAGTAGTTTGTTCTTCATTTCTTGAATAGGAAAGAGGAGGAGACTAGCCTAATACAGGTCATATGACAAGCACCTTAGGTGTCCTAAATTGTTTAGGAAATCCCAAGAGTGGATTAGCTTATTCTGTTCAGGGGCACACAAAGTAAAGATGTTTATATCTCTGTGAAATGTTCAGGATTTTAATGTGTTAATGGACATTAATACAGTACTGAAATCATTGCTGGAAAAAATACTCTTGCATGAGAAGAGCACTTTCAGTCAGATCTCACAACACACATAAAGCCATCAACTGACATTATTGTTGGTGGAAGAGAATGTGAATGGCAGTTCCTCAGTAATGAGAATATGTGTAGTTCCTTTCAGGTGCTGTTACTACACTTCCTTTTCTTTCTGTTAAATACATGCTACTGTTTGAAGTCTCATTGTAATGGCTCTGTGGGCATAATAAGGATTTTAGGGTGACAACAGATTCTGTGCACTATGGAATGTTCTTTTATGACAATACGGAAGTTCCTTTTATTTTAGTCATATCGCAGATTTGGCTCATGTGATGAGAGGGTCACTGACGATCCATTTCTCCAAGGTACTTTGATCTTAGAGCTGTCATTGAGGAGAAGAAAAAAATACACCTCTCATCTGGATAGCACTTAAAGATATTTGAAAGTAAACAATCATTTGCTGTTTTTTTCTTGTGTTGTTTTAAGCATATGCTTAAGTGCTTTCTTGAAATACTGCCATAAGAACGTTCTTAAGAAAGTACGAATTGGAATTAAATTGTCTGTTTAGGTATAAGAAAAAAGTCTTTGCTATTGAAGTTTGTTGGATGAGGAAATAATTAGAAAGTTGCTGAGATGCTAAGAATTAAACCCTCATGAAATCTTTCGGTAGAAAGAAATTGACTTGATGACCCTATGTATGAAACTAATTTACAACTCTTGTCAACTGTTCGTGACTGCAGGTTGAAAATTCCACCCTTAATTCTCAGAGTACATCTCTTATGAATCAGAATGCACAACTGTTGATCCAGCAGTCAACTTTAGAAAATGAAAATGAATCTGTACTCAAGGAGCGTGAGGATCTGAAATCATTGTATGATTCACTTCTCAAAGATCATGAAAAACTGGAACACCTGCATGAACGCCAAGCATCTGAGTATGAATCTCTGATTGCTAAACATGGAAGCCTTAAATCCGCACACAAAAATCTGGAGGTGGAGCATAAGGACTTAGAAGATAGGTAAGTATTAATATATATTAAAATTAAGTCTGTGATACATCAGGAAAAAAAACAAAACATAATATATAAATAATATGAATAAAATTAGTGTTAAATATGGCATTAAGATCTTAAAATTTTGAAAATTTGTTGTTTCTAAAACTCTCCGTATTTTCTTGTAGCTGTGTTTCCCCCCCTCCCCCACCAATTTAAGTGAGATATTTGTTGACAGGTACAATCAGTTGCTGAAGCAGAAAGTGCAGTTAGAAGAATTGGAGAAAGTACTCAAGGCAGAACAGGAGAAGATGCTGCAGCAAAATGAAAAACATGAAACTGTGGCAGCAGAGTACAGAAGACTTCGTGATGAAAATGATAGGTAAAGCAAAAGTCTAATATGTATGTTAGCAGAATTCGGAGTGCTCTCTTAGAGTGAGTCAGGTAGATTCCTCTGAGGTAATGGGTAGGTGTAGTTCTGGAAGTAGAGCGTTACTGGGATGATTCTGTAAAGGCAGTATGGACGAGAGTATGCAAGGTTTGGCTTCCTTCACCTACACAGACCTCTAGCACTATCCAAACAGGCATCGCATCCTCTCACATTTCTAAATATCTGGTGCTGCACCTCAGGATGCATGAGATGCATGCCTTATAGAAACTCCGATCTGTTTGTGTATTGACACAGAAAAAACTAAACCCAGACAATAATTGTTATATCCTAAGCTAAATACTGAATTCCACATCATGTCCAAAGGAATCCCAGGCCCAGATACTATGCAGTGTGGATACGAGCTCTAGAAGGAGCAAGCTACGCAGTGATCCTGCCCATTAGGCGTTTCACAGTCTGAGGTTAATGCCAGTAGGAATAGAAATGCAGTGTTGGGGATGAAGGCCTGCCTCACCCCTGCAACTGAGGTATAGCTCGCTTTTTAAGTAGTCCAGTTGAAATGAATGGGATTAATTATGTAACGTGGTACTTTCAGCTTATATTCCCCTCTCCTCTCGAGAAGGGAAATAAGAGCTGTTCTTAGGGCCAAGAGGCTCAAAGTTAAACCGCGCTTACCTGTGTTATTGCATGAGGAGTATTAGCTGGAACTAGAGATTGTTGCTAGAGGGGGAGGTGGTGGCTCCCTGAAGGAACAGTGGAGCCTGAGAGTTCCTATCAAGCCTCCGTAGGCTTTGAAGTTTGGATCATTCCTGTTTACTTCTTACTCCGTGTTGCCAAGAAATCTGAGCTAAGATTCTTTTTTTTTTTTTTTTTTTTGGAAAAACAACATCTTAAAATTAGTTGTTATGTCCTTGTTTAGAAATCTACTTGATCTTTTTAAAATGCTGGGTTTTAAAAACCCAGAATGTCTAATTTACTTAAAAGCAGAATGCATGCCTATCTGAGAGCATTTAGATTTAAGAGATGATTACCTACAGCTTGTGATACTAAGAAATGTTTTTCTGTGCTCTAGGGAGTATGTAGTCCAGCACTGTAGTAGCCAAAAACGATGGCATTTTCATCTTTCAGAGAGAATGTTGATCACGAATATGTTTCCTTTTATCTGCGTGTATTCTTTTATGGCATCTTTCCATTCCAGGCTTACTCATACGTATAGTCAGCTCTTGAGAGAGAATGAAGTCCTGCAAACCGATCATAAGAATTTGAAAACATTATTGAACAACTCCAAACTAGAACAAACACGGTTAGAAGCTGAGTTTTCTAAACTCAAAGAACAGTACCAACAACTGGATATTACATCTACAAAACTGAATAATCAATGCGAGGTATGTAAGAATCATGCCCTTTTTTAATGGGTGTTATTGAAATATTTATTATACTTACATAATTGTATTTTTAGATCCATAAAATCATTTGAAGTATTTGAAAGTTACTCCTTTGCTTTATAGATAACAAAGTAGGTTTGAAGACAGATGAATTTGCCGGAGGTACTCTTTGTTTTACATGTGTAGAGCTGTTGCCAACAGGAGTTAAGAGTGCTCAGCTCTTCTGAATATAAGATTTTGTTCGGTTGGTTGTGGCTTTTATCTAATAATTCTGTGATAAGACCCTTAGAAAAGTCATACTTACAAAGAAGTATAACCTAATTCAAATTGTAGTCACATTCTCAATCCAATACAGCAATTTAAAGCTCATCTAAAAAATGAAGGGAAACGCTTCCTTCCTTTCCTCTCCCCCTCCCCCCCCATTGTTATATGATCCATAGTGATACAAGAAGTTTGAACTGAAGTAAATTTCCTGACTCTTCCATATTTTAAAATTGGGGCTCGTGTGTTAGGTGAACTGTATTAAGCTAGTTAAAGTGTCAAAGAGGCTTTTATCAGTTGAGTCATAACTTAGTTAAGGTTTTTTATCTGAGCTGACTATCCTTTACAGACCTGCTTAAGTTCTTGATAATCTCATTATCTGTGTGTCAAATGTGCTCACTTTATATGCATGCACTGTTTCATATGTTTTAACAGTTGCTTAGCCAGCTTAAAGGAAATCTGGAGGAGGAAAACAGACATTTACTAGATCAAATTCAGACATTAATGCTACAGAATAGAACATTACTTGAGCAAAATATGGAAAGCAAGGATCTCTTCCATGTAGAACAAAGACAGTACATGTGAGTAGTAAAAATAATGAAATTATTGTGATGAGGGCAGTCACACTAATACCTAGAAGTAAAAACAGCTTTTGTTTTATATAGGAATGATGCATGTGCTACTTAGGAAAAGTTTCTTCTTTTAAAATAAAATTTTAAAAGTAAATAATTAAAACTAGGGACATTATATTTTTAGCTATAAAGAATCAGTGCGACTGGTTTCATTGTTGAGGTAAATGTCTAATGAAAAATGTTATTGCTCCCTCATTCTATTACAAACAAAGATCCTAGGTTTTTTTTGAAAACTGTAACCTTTTTTTAGAGCATTTGAGAGAAAAGAAAATGTATTCATTTGAACAATTCTGTTGCTGCCTATTTTTAATAGTAAGGCATATATACTGATTGTATATTAACAGCCAATGAAAATTTTTACAGTTATGTATCACTGTTAATCGTAAGACTGAGAATTTTCTGCATCCCTCTTTCTTGACTTTTTTCAACAAGAAAAATAAATATTATATAAGAATTCCTCATGAAAATGTCAGCTTTCAGATATCCAGAGGAGCATGCTTCACACACATAATGTGTACGTTTTGGAAGTATACGTTGTAATTAATTTCTGTTTACAGTGATAAGTTAAATGAATTGAGGCGGCAGAAGGAGAAATTGGAGGAGAAGATAATGGATCAGTATAAATTTTACGAGCCATCCCCCCCAAGAAGGTACTGCTTGAATATGTTATAAACATAAATCTAAATCCCAGAATACCCGTTCTGTTCCAGGTGAAAGTAAAGTTTTCCTTTAACTTTGGGGGAGCAGAATCATGTCTGTGTTCTCGCATACAAATTAAGAAAAAATGAAGACAAAAGTAATGTATTGCAGATGCGGTAAATGTATTGCACTGTATTATTGCTAACAGGAGAGGCAACTGGATTACTCTGAAAATGAGGAAGCTGATAAAGTCGAAGAAAGATGTTAACCGGGAGCGTTTGAAGTCTCTGACCCTCACACCTACCCGTTCAGAATCCAGTGAAGGATTTCTTCAGCTGCCCCACCAGGACAGTCAGGATAGCTCCTCAGTGGGCTCAAACTCTCTTGAAGATGGCCAGACGCTGGGGACCAAAAAGAGTAGTAGTAAGTACTGCAGAACGTTTTTTCTCTTTTAGTACTCTTTGGTTAAATGTCTTTCCGATTGTGATTGAAAAGTAAGGGGTGCTCAGAAAAGCCTACGTGGTTTGGAATTTTTTTAAAGATAATTTGAAAGTCTTTAGGAACTGAGCTGGAATTCATTTATTGACAAAATTTATACTGGCTTCAGACTCCTCCAGTGTTTGGGTAGATACTAGTTTTTAGCATTTCTGTAGCTCTAAATAGAAATGTTAAGATATATTTGCAGTACTTAGGGAAGATGAACTTGTCAGTGTTATTGGAACAGAAACGCAGAAATTTGGATAGAATATCAAAAGCTGCCACCACTTGTGTCCTGCTTTGTTTCTTCTTCTTGTCCCAGTATGAATCCTTCCCCTTGTCTTTGAAAGTGCCTGTCCAAGTTGTGGCTGCACTGACGTCCTTTAGTTGTTCAGAAGATCTTCTGTCTGAAGATATTCCTCCAGCGTCTCTCAAAAATCAGTGATGAAGATTTTTGGCGACGTGTTAGAATGCAATAGGACGACTTTACATAGGGACATGAACTGTTAAAAAGATCTGAATTGTTACTGATCCTAAAGAGAGAATTAGAAACTTAGGAGGGGAGAGGCTGAGGAGTGGTACTGAGGTGAGATTTGGATGTTCCCAACACAATTCACTGAAATCGAACGAGCCTGACGGCAGTCCTGCAAGGATCCCCGCAGTATGAAAGGCCAGATTCTGTGAAGCACGTACATGTGTATCTGTTTCTTTTGTTATCCACTATTTGTAGGATCATGAACAATTAAATTTCTAGTAATTTGAGAGGTAGTGTTGCAGTCAAGTTATCAAGTTGTAACGATTCTATTTTATTAATGATGCGCCAAGAGAGTTGGTTGCACCCGTAAAGCATCAGTATACATGTGTATTAACAGTCACGTAAAAACTTTAAAATACCATTTTAAAATGTAATGTCTCGAGTTTCAAAACACATCAGGTTGGTATTCCATTTTTTGTCTCAGCTATGAATTTGCTGTATTAGAAATGATTAAAGTTCTTGAGACGTATTTTTTTTTCTTTTGAGCTTATGGCATGAGCTTAGTCAGAATTAAAAGCATCTGAAAGCACTACTTCAGGGAATCTTAAAATCAGATTTGTATTTTTTAAATAACTGCAGAAAATAGTAAGTTTGAGAATACTTATTACTTTCATTGCTGACTTATCAATATGGAAAGCTTAGCGTTCTTCAGCGTAAGCTGATCAAAAGATCAACTGTAGCCAGTTGTTATGTTACCAGTGGACAATTGAGATGCACCTATTACAGAGCAGTCTTTTAAAGGGCATGGATTCTTTCCAGATAAACTGAATAGGTTTTCAGGAGTGCATCTAATGCTTTTCAGTCTACGAGGCCGAACTAGAAATGCTCTCAAGTAAAGCAAAAAAAAATCTCCAACTTCCAATCAAAAACAAACCAACCCCCCACACATTTAAGAAAACAAACTTAAATACAAACCTTAAAATACGCGTAGTGTGGATAGCATGTCCTCAGCACTGTTCCGCTCAACAGATCATCTGTTGCCTGCACTAATTTTCTTATGTAGCCAGAGCTTGTAACTCAGCCAGACCGGTAACCAGCCAGGCCAATCCTAAATTGCTTTTTTCTGTTTCCTTGGTCTTACTAGTACAAAAAGAATTTATTTATTTATTTTTGTATCAATTGACATTTAGCGTTTTTTCAGGAATGTTGCCTCAGCTAATGGATAGGATTCTAGGATATTAAAAAAAAAAAAAAAAATCTATCTTGCTGGGAGAAATAACGTAGTACATCTAGTCACTTGTGAAGAAGGAAGCTGAGTGAGAGAGGTTAAATGCGCTTGTCTTGAGCAAAGCTGTTTATCTATGGACAATTATATATATATATATACACATATATGCATATACACATATATTTTAAAATCAATTAAATGGAATCCTGTGAAACCATTCAACAAACTCAGGAGCGGTACTCCATGACTGTCTGGCAGCATCATAGTAACTGAGGTACTCAACACATCAGTAGCAGTTACACCACTTGTCTGTGGAGCTCTGTGAAGGTGGTTTAGTAGGAGCGGTTAGTGTCCTACATTAGTCCTGCTGTGTTTGGAGAAGTGACTCCTGGGAGGTTTTGATCATTTCTGATGGTGAGATACATAAAGATCAGCATGTTGAAAGGCTCTTTACTTTCCCATAGTAGAGTTATAATTGTACTCTGTCGGATGATGCTAGTAATGAACCTACATTTTTATTTGGTGCCTCCTATTTCATTTCCTTGTGCTATTTGTTAGAGGTGTATAAAGCAGTCTTAACTCACGTAATCAAAATAGTGGTTTTGGTTGGGCTTCATCCTGTCTAACTTCAGGCGTTTCCCCAAAGTCTAATTTAAAAGCTCAGTCAGTGTAGATTCCCTCGTTACTCTTTAGATGGAGACAGGCAGCTCCAAAGGATGGTTCAGATTTTGGTTAGGCTAATCGACACTCTACAGTTTCCAATATCCTTTGCGAGGAACCTAGGACAACTGCATTCCGAAGCTGGCTGCATGCAGCAGCTTCTAGTTATTGGAGTAAGTCTAGGCTCATTTTTTCATTTATGTGACTTTTCCTTTTTCATATCAGTGAGCAGATACTTTACCCAGTCCCTCTTGCTAAATAAATCTGAGGTCCTTCTGAAGAAACCACGTTACAAGGAATGATGCAGTGTTCTTCCTTGTTACGGTGGCTGATCTTCGAAAGAAGTGTGAAGTTATTCAGACCTCATTAATGTTTTACTCCATGGACCTCGTTCATATTCCCTTTAATCCCAGTTTATTTCTCCACAAGCTGGAAGGGTTCTGGATTCTAACCCTCCATTACAGGCCACCTCAGAAACAACAGGTTTTTGATAGGATTTGGATAAATTAGGTGCATAGTCAGCGCTGACGATCTTACTGAGACAGTTTGTGTCTGACGAAGTTAAGAGGAGACTATCTCAGTGCAAGAAGCGCCGGTAGCGGTGTGCGTTTTGCAGTCTCTTTCTTCTGCCTTTCGGATGACACTAAATGGTAAATATTGAGGTATTATGGCTTATTTCTTTTCTCCAAAAAGTGACTTCGTGGTAGTGGCTTCCATTGAAAGACATTACAGGAAAGAAGATCTGTAAGTTGCCTCCTGCCTATGCAGATGTTCAAGCATTGTGGCTTTTCATACTGGCTGAAGGGAATTTTATGTAAGGGAGGAGAAGGGTTCTCTGCCACACTTGTCTATTAATTTTTTGCGTCTGTGAATGGAGGTAGTTAGAGAGGGAGCGTTCGGGTGAAAGGTTATCCTGTATGTCCTTCAGAAGGCAAGAGAAGGCACAGTTTCATTCCCCAAATTGCAGTCACTCTGGCACAATGTAGCTGTATTCTTAAAAGCTACAAGACAGAGTGTCTGACACAAGTGATCTTTGAGACATACAGGTTTCCGGGGAGGAAACCTATCAGAGGAAGGGAGAGAGAACGATTCCAAAATGAATTATTCTGCTACCACCACTGATAAATGGATTCACTGTGTGAAATCTGTAGATTTGCTTCTGAAGATGACGAAGGTAGAGAATGCCTTTTTACGTAATGCGTGATACCCTTGCATGCAAAAGTTTTCGAGGGACCTGTATGTACTCTTAGAAGGACCGGGGATCTTGGCACAAAAATCAGGTTACACCATTGTGAGAAAAAAACCAGTACCTGAGGTCGTTTGCATCCTTCTGACAGCACAGCTTTCTCAGCGCACAGGTAGATAGGGGATAGACCCCCCCTGCCACTGTCACCGTTGCTATATTCATGGAGTGCTTGGAGGCCTTTTTTGGTCCCAGGAACCCTCTTGAAAGGGGGGGGCATTTGTATGACTGAACGCATAAAGCACAAATCTGAAATCCTGCAGGCAGTGTGGACATGGTATGCGTCTCTGGTTGCAAAGTTTCGCCTTTGCTTTTCATAGCTGCATGCCCTGGTTGGATCGGGGGATGAGAGATACTGTTCTGAGCTTTTGCATAGAAAAGATTTTTTTTTTTTTTTCCTGTGGAGAAAAACAGATTACTTTTGCTAGCTTCCACTTCATACATTTCAACTTATCAACCATGTCCCAAGAAATTAAGCTTTCATCTTTAAGCAGTACAGTGAGGTATCATGGTACCAGCAGCAGGTGCATTGTATCACAGTGGAAGTGAGAGAGGTTTACTGGGGTCCATTGTTTACCATCAAAACGTTCAGAAGATGTCTTCCTAATGTTTTTTTGTGTTCAGGAGTGGAATGATTTGGAGATTTTAATATATCCAAACAGAATTCCAGAAACTGTCTGTTTCTGGCACACGGTTAGTAGATTTACAGAACACGATTTCCTGATCAGCGGAGGAAGTGTGCAATACTTACTGTCCATTTTCCACGCAGAAAGCTAGAACATGTTGTCAGAACGCCCAAAAGTTACTGATTATAAGTGGAGTTCTTTGAGTAGATGGTTGCTTGAGGTCAAGATAGTCCTTCTGCTATCCCCAGTTTTTAAAAGTCTGTTGGAATTAAAATGTGAAGAACTATGACTGACTAGGCTAAATTTCATGTTTCTGTTTTTTCGGTTACTCTTTCTTCTGCAGCTCTGCCATTACAATGATGTTTTTTTGCAGGTCATGTTTTAGCCATATCTGGTGCAGTAATTACTATGCAGTCTCGCAAGAAGGATGCATTTTACTGAAGGATAGATTTTGATGCAGCCTTGTGTAGCATCCCAGGACATCAGTAGCCGCAGTTGAAGTATTGTGTTAGGTACAGTTGCTGAGGACCATAAATCAGTCCTTTTGGTGGCGATCTTTGTTAACGAACAAGAATCAGAGATGACCCAAATGATTCTTGCCCATCCTCTGGTAACTTTTTAACAAGATTAAGGTGGACTTCAAGAGAGAAATTATCTTGCCTATACAAGATTAGAGTAGTAACAAAATAACCATGTTTGACCAGGGCAACAAGTAGTAGTAGAAACGGAACAAAACTACCTCCTTGCTTTGTCACTAGCGCTAAAACTATTTAGTTATTTATCTATTAGAAAACTAGTCTAATGCTGTTCCTCGTATTGGCGGGAAGCTGTTCAAAGCGACATGCTTTTATATACAGCTAAATAGACAAAATGCATACTTCCTTTATGGGAGAGTTAGCAGCCTCTCCCCTTTGTTTTAGCCAGTTATCATCTATTTTGGCCTCATTTTCAGCTTATTTTCTCAGGGACCAGTGCTTGTTGATTTGGAAGAAAACGTATCAGAAAGCTGATTATTTTTAAGTACCTATAAGTACTTAGAGATAAAGAAATATTGTTAATTATGTAGTGAATAATTCAAAGATTAAAATATATGCTTAATATACTTCTATCGTGTGTAGATAGCACATAAGGACTTCTTTTTCTCCCTGTTCCTCCCCACCCCATGTCATAAGGAACTAATACACCAAGATACTTGCAGTTGCTCTCTGATCTAGATACAATTGTGTTCGAGATACGATTGTGTTCAGAACTTCTGCCTTTGTTTTTGGCACTTGAGACTATGCTACTCATGCACCGGAAGCTGTAAAATGTATTGCTTTTGTTTTTCCTATAGTGTTCTGAGCTATGTTTTAGAGCCATGTTGCATTGGAGGAGATCTCCCTCTGCTCCTCCCCCAAGAGTGGAGAGCACTGAAGCAGATCTAGCTAATTCATATGTACCCACTGAAGGTTTTGTAGGTAACGGAGAAAAGGTATTCTGTGTGTGGTAAGTTCTGTCACGCTTCACAGAACTGCTGTTAACTGGCAGGCATGAGCTGTGAGGCCGAGTAGCTGAAGCCAGTTCCAGAAGAACAAGCGGGCACCAAAGAACTTCTTTTAGAAGAACTCTGCTGAAAATGCTAATTGTGGGAGACAGCAAGTAAATCAAAACAATGTAAAATCTTCTGTAAAAAGAACTACAAATGTGTCTTAACACTACTGTCTCCCTTGTAGCCTCTCATTATACGTTTTCTTCTTTATATTAGAGACAGTCTTTATACCCTATACTTGTATAACACCCGGTGTGGCAGAGCTCTGGTTTAGGACTTGGGCTACTGGACACTCTTTGAAGACTAAAGTAAACTTCTAACTCTAAGTGCAAACATAAAATAATATGATGGAGAGGAATATTTATTTGTATCAGAGTAGTTCATGTGCACTGGTAAAAATGCGTGTGTGTGTGTGATATATATATATAAGTGTGTGTGTGTATATATATATATATAAAAATAAAAATACATACATGCATGCACACATATATACATCTATACTGCTTGTATAAAATATAAACTGCTGTATAATAAGCCACTGATTGAACAGAAAATCAAGGCAAATGACAAAGCACCTGTCCCAGAAATCACTTTGGAGAGGTAAAATAGGCATACCTTTGGCTGACAGGCTGGCCTGCGCTGCTCTTACATCTGCATAAATAAGAACTTCTTAGCATTTCATTATGCATTTCTTTCTGAATCTTACATCCCCTTTTTTTGCATGTAGCTCCTGTATCCTTGGCAGTCAGCTGACACATTTATCTGATGCTTCATCAGGATGAAGGTGTCTGCCAGTAATCAGTTACTAATGCAGAATAGTTGAATCTAAGGACAAGATTAATTTGTTATTTCCTCCCCTCCCCTATCTTTGAATACTATTTGTGGTTTTAACTCTCTATTTCCTGATATTGTGTATGTTGTTTTTTCTAATTCCATCCAAAATGTTTCAGCAATGGTCTCATTTAGGTTTTTGTTTTTTTTTTTAACTTTTGGTATTTTAAAGTTAAATTTGTATACCATTCCAGCTAGTAAATATTTTTATTACCGATATGAAGTGGATTATTTCAGTTAAATATTAAAATATCTGCACTCAAACACAGCTGCTTGAACATAAGATCTGTATAACTTTTATATAAAACAGTGGGTGATAGAAATTGTTAAAGAGTACATAATATAACAAATGAATATTCATAAAATATTAATTTTACTATTACAGATTCAGGGGAAAAAATGTACCAAAGTCACTGACCTAATCTCAAAAAATAACGATATGACTATATTTTAAAGTAGATGTTTACTTAACTCACAGATACTTTGATTTCAAGCTTTTTTTTTTACTTCATTGCTTCATTTTTTACTACTTTATGTTGAAATGTGTTTTTTCAAATAGTAGAAAAGATCAATTTGTGTAAGTGTCTGCAGAGAAGTTACATTATTTTTCAAGAACTTGGCAGTTAAAATTTTCGAACTGTATTACACACTTCACCGTTGTTTTGGGTGCATTTCTGAGTATATTAAAGTTTTCATAGTGTAGTTTTCATATTTCATTATCACGCAGAAGCATGAGAATGATAGTATTTAGCGTAGCATACATAGCTTAAACTCAGACATTCATTTCTGTCCTTAGTTTCAACATTTAACTTCCATCTGTTCTTCTCCCTTTTTTCTTTCATTTCCCTGTTTCCGTTTTTCCTCATGCTATGACATAAAAGTGGTTGCACTGAAAAGACTGCCCTTTTTGAGGAACAGACCGAAGGAAAAAGACAAAATGAAGGCCTTCTACCGTCGCTCCATGTGTAAGACTTTATGACAGTTCAGCTTCTTTTAAATGGCTACACTGGCTTCCATTACTAATTTTTCACTAACCTCTCCCTGGACTGCGCTGTTTTTTTTCCACCTATTTTGCAGTGTGCAAGTCCTGCTACAATACAAGGAGCTGGAGCTTTTCTTTTTTTTCCTCCCCTCTCCTCTTTTTTTTTTTTTTTTTTTTTTTTTAAAAACTTTGGCACTGAATACTTTATGTATGTGCGCACACATACACACATTTACACTCACAGACACATGCATATAAACATATAGATTCAGTGCATTTGATTACATCTATTTGTGCATATTTTCTATATACATGTGCATATGTGTATATAAATTTACAGTGCACTCTAATATAAATAGTTTTAAATTACACATTTCATAAGCCATTTGTTAAGCAATTACTACAATTTTTTGTGTCTTTTAAAGAGAGTGTAGAAAAAGTAGAAATATAAGGTGGTCTGTCACTCTTCAGGTATTCTTCCGTTCTTGTGAAAATTTTTGTTTTGTTTTTGTTTTGTTTTTTTTCAATGAAGGATTTAGTCTAGTTTTGTGAAGTAAAGGTGAATATCATCAGATCTCATGTTTTTCAGATCCTTTTATTTATTATTGTGCAAAATACAGCATCCCTGCAGTAACCTGCACTGTACAAGGATCCTTATCATTGTTGACATTATATTGTATTAGCATTTCTGGCCATTTTATCCTCATTCATTCCATTTTATCATTGCAAAACAGCATATCAAAGCTTCTAACTTATATATTACATATCATTGCCGCACAAGCATGGCAGTTTTACCTAATCAAATCAGTTCTAAGAGCCATACTGAACTGAAAGAAGTCTCTGACTTAAAACACTCTCATGCATTGAGCTGATTGCATGTCATAACATGGGTGATCTTGTGTTTGTACCTTAAAATATTCAGTGTGCTTTAATGCTTAGAAAACTGTCAAACATTTTACAATACAAAATAAGAACAAAAGCAAATACATTGACCATGCTGATCATTTGCTTTCATTTGCATCCCAGCCATGAATGACCTGGTGCAATCCATGGTCCTAGCAGGAGGACAGTGGACAGGTAGTTCTGAGCATCTGGAGGGTCCTGATGATATATCTGCGGGTAAAAGGAGAAAAGAATTGGGAGCTATGGCCTTCTCTACTACAGCTATCAACTTTGCAACTGTCAACTCTTCTACAGGCTTCAGATCGAAGCAGTTGCTAAATAATAAAGGTATAGGTAGAAGCTTTTTGCACCGTGATGTGATTATCTGTAACAGCAATTTCATATAAATCCTGGTGTTTTTTTTTAATATGTTTTAAGATTTTCAGCAAGAAGCAATGTGAATAATTGAATTGCAATTCTGAGATACTGAATAAGTTCAATAACGGTAGCTGAATTTTCCCTAGAGAAATGTTACATAAGTGAAGATGGGTTGGGTCAAAAATTATTTTTATTAGATTTTACGGATTATAAATATGTCAATCTTTTTGTAGTAATTTTGTTTTACATCATCTTTTATGTCATTGTGTATAGATACTACATCCTTTGAAGACGTAAGTCCACAAGGTATTAGTGATGATTCTAGTACAGGATCAAGAGTTCATGGTAAGATGTGAACTTTATTTAAATGAATTAAGGATACCTTATGTGAATGTTCATGGCGCTTGCAAAAAAAAAAAAAAAACACACACACACCAGTGAATGGCATCGTCACAAGTGAGCATGTTTTCCATAATTTGCCTATCACTTGAATGTATGGTATCATTTCTTCAGATTATTCCTTTCTTCTTAGACTGCTGTTTCAGTTAGATGTTGTATATCTCTACTAGAAAGCATCTATGAAGTGCATCTGAACAGGATCAAAGTATTTTGCCTTTTAAACTGTGTTTGGAGTTAATAGTAAAATAAAAGAAGTTATAATTTCAATAGTAAAAAAAACAAATCCCAGTGTGGCCTGATTTTTGAGTATATTGTTCAGTTAAATCTAAATTTGCCATGTACTGTACATTATAAAATAACTACATTTCTTCAAGCAAAGCTATGAAGTGAATGCTATAATAGGTTACTTAAAAGTGAAGTCTTAACTCTTTTCTAAAAGTATTTAAAATCAGTATGAGCCACAAACATTTTGGAAATAACAGTGCAATTATTTCCCTTGTATTGGATAGGAGTACAGGACATTAACTGTGCAGATGCTCTTGCTCCTCCTGTTCGTGGCATTTCAACAATGTGCAGGGTTCCTTGTCAAATCTGTTGTAAGTGACCTAATCACGAGCAGCTTTCTGCATGCCAGTCTTTCCACCTGTAAAATCCTGGTTTCCCACTAACAAATCAGTTTCAATTCTAAATATGCACTCTATTTCTCTCTTCCTTTCCCTTGTACCTTACTATTCCTATAGTGCCCTTTTCTAAAGTGTCCTCTTGGACTGCCTGGAAATCCCTTCGCTTTCTGATCTGTAAGAAACACCACTTTGTTGACAAGGGGCATGCTCAGCCTGTGAAATAGTGCATGATTCCTGCCTCAGAGCATTCTGTGATCAGAATGTAAAGGTACTGTGTCACCTGCTAAACTTTTGTTCATCATGGCGTCTCCTGATTTTTCCATTTAGCTTCCAGACCAGCCAGCCTTGATAGTGGCAGAACATCCACTAGCAATAGCAATAACAATGCTTCACTCCATGAAGTCAAAGGTATGCTGTAGGTGAATTTACATCCATGCTTCACTTCGTTAGTTTCTCTGTAAGATCTTCTGTATGTTTTAAAAAAACCAAGCACCGCAGCATGTTATTTCTTTGGACATTTTATAACCTTAATTCCCCAAATTACAAATATTAAAGACTTTATTATGTTTTTAATAACAATTGAAGAGGTTATTAAAAATAGGTTTTTTAAACGTATGTTAATAAGTTTAAAACTATTTTAAACCAAATCCAGCTCAAGCAACAGTGTCACAGAACAGTAATTCCCCCCCCCCCCCAAATTAATTTAAAATCACTTATCTCTAAGCAGAGGAATAACTCCATTTTTTGTAAAATCTCTACTGCTACTGTGAAACTGTATAGTGTCCAACACAAACTAGACAAAATGGCATGTGTAATACCGTCGGATAAACTTTCATATTCAGCTTTTGAAAAATGAATAATGTTCCAGGATTTAGCAGTATCCCAGATAAGTGTCACACATTATGAGACTTGACATATTTTTATGTTGCTTGCAATGGCCATTCAATGAGTTTTAAAAACTGCTGTTAGCTAGAGATATATGAGTAGAATGCTGCCAATTCGACATGCTTAATATTCTTAGCTTATACTTGTTCAATAGTATCTGTTTATTTGGCAATTGAGATGAACGCAAACTTGAGATTTTTATTCAACTGTTTCCTCTATCCATTTGATTACTCTCTTCTATAAAAGATTCTCTGAGGTAAGTCTTACCACAGTTTGTATACAGAGTATCAGGAACTTCTGCTGTAAGCCACTCACCTTTCTTCAAATTTATTTTCTTTGCTTAGAAATAACACAAAGTAGGAAATATTACAATATTTGTATCTTTACTCAGTTCACGTTTACTGAAAAATCAAAGAGAATTTCTACTGTAGGATTCATTTGGCGTATAACGCCATATGCTTCCTTCAGATCACAGTTGTAATAAATTAGAAGTTACAGCACAAACCGTTGGAGAAGTACCATTTCAGAATAGCTCTTGTTGAAGAACTGTGTTGAAAATATTTTCTTTCTGTTCTGTCTTTCGCATTTCATTTATTGTAAGACTCAAAGATAGTACACTAGAGTCCCACTTTACAGTGTAGCTGAACAGGAAAAGTTATATGTTCAGCCTCTTAGAATATAGTACTGTGTTGATAGAAGTCCCGGTTTGTAAGTGAAAGGTATTCTTTTTATTCAAAAGCTATCGTGTCATGTTAGAAAAGCTGTAAGACATAAGCCAGAGGGTGAAACTGTATTCATAGTATATTTGGTTTGAGTCATACGGGACAACTGGATTCTTTGGTATTTTAAATGGAATTATTGTTAAGTGACTCTGATAATGTTCCAGATCTGGGTAAGATTATACTGTTTAACAACTTCCGTGTGTTTTTGTTACCAAATACTTAACACTGTTTACCCCAAAGCAGGTGCAGGTAACAATCAAAGCAGGCCACAGAGTCACAGCAGCGGAGAGTTTAGTCTGCTACATGAACACGAGGCTTGGTCTAGCAGCAGCAGCAGTCCTATTCAGTATTTGAAGGGTCATACCAGGTCTAGTCCTGTGCTCCAGCAAAGAATGCCTGAAATCCTGGATGGTCGTGGAAAACAGAGCAAAACTGGTTCTCCTGGAAGTGAAGTTGTTACCCTACAACAGTTTTTAGAAGAAAGCAACAAGAGTACCTCAAGTGAGGTTAGTTTAAAAATATTTCACTTGCTTTTAGCTACATATTATCCGTATCCATGCACAGAATTAATAGAATATTTATAGTGAGTAGAATTGCTTGAAAACTTTGTGGAGCTACTTATGCCTACATTATATAGTAGGGTGGAGCAATAGTAGTAGACTTGTAAATTGAAACAGTTGAGGCAGAGCTCCTGATGTCTGCACTATATGTGCTTTGGGGACTTTAATTAGAACTAGTTCTAGTCTGGACCCATGAAGGAGTGCCCATTAAGGAGACAGGATCACATCTTCCCATGTAGTTTCATCCAGAAGGAATTCCATGTTTATGCTCTAATACTGCTTTGCCATGTGAACCAGTGTGGTAAGTGAGGACAGCTGGGAGCATGCTCCTGACCAGAACTTGAAAACTGATGTAAGCAAACCGACTGCTGGCTCAAATTTTGTTTTGAAAAGAAAGTTTTCTCAAATGATGCATGAAAAGAAAAAAGACAGAATGTATTCTGAGGTACCGAGCTGAGTAGGAACGGTTACTCTGGGATTAAGTGGCTTGGTGTACAGGAACAAAAGCTATTATTGCCTGCCCCAGGAGTTAGTGTAGGTGTTCTGGTAGCAGGTGAAATTTGTTCAGACTTTATCCTGATAACCTTTACTGGTTCTGTGACACAACGAAATCATTTTGGAGTTTCGCAGCTTGCCCCTTTCTGGGTTACTGAGTTAGACAAAAAAAAAAAAAAAAAGTCAGTCTCTGCTTGCGCAAAATTGTCCGGTGTGTTGATGCTTGGTATGCTCCTCAGAGATTAGATGGAAGGCCATAAACTCAAAATAGGCTTACTTACCTTCTGCCAGTTAAGCACCTGTCTCCAGTAAGAGCTGTTGTCAGATCTGTCAGCAAAAAGCAAGTGGTCAGTTAGGCCTCAGAGGTACTTTACTTTATCCCCTAAGGAGAAGCTCTTGCCTGTTTCAGTTGTATTTAACTTTAATCAGCAAAATGCCTGACCTTTGAATTCATTGAGCTCTTGGAGGAGTAAGAGAAAGAGAATGCTTCTGTCAATCAATGACAGTGTTAGAAACACAGGATCACTGTTGTCTCTGCTAGAATTCTAATTTCTTCATCACTAGTTCTCGAGGAGATTTATCCCAAGTCTGAAGGTGCTTTGGGCTACAGTAAGCCAGTTTCTGTGGCTAAGTTCTTTCAAGAATACGGACCAAACTCCATCTGTTTTTAATTCTGCGACTGAAATGAGAAGATGCACGTGCACAGCTGATGTGATTGGGGTAATCTGTGACTTGAATCTAGAGTAAGCTCTTGGATTGTTGTCAGATACTTAAAATGCTCTAGTCCACTGCTGTTCGGGCAATCATACAATCCCTTTTATAGAATCTCAGAATAATTGAGGTCGGAAGGGTCCTAAGGAAGTCTCTTGTCCAGTCTTTTGCTCAAAGCAGGGTCGGCTGTGAGATTAGACCACTTGGCTGTCTACCGAGGCCTCCGGATCCTTTTCAACAGAGCTGCTCCTCAACTAGCCAGTCTCCAGCCTGTGTCATTGCCAGGGCTTCTTTCTTCCCAGGTGCGGGACTTCCCATTTGTCCTTTTTGAATTTCGTGAGGTTCCTGTCAGGCCGTTCCTCCAGCCTGTCTGGATCCTTCTGAGTAGCAGCCTTGCCCTCAAGCGTATCAGCTGTTCTCTCCCTAGATTGATGTCATCTGCAGACTTGGTGAGAGTGCACTCCGTTGCTTCCTCCAGGTCATGGATCAAGATTTCAAGCAGGACAGGTCCCAGGATAGACCCCTATGGTACTCTGCTTGTCACCGCCTCCAGGCGCAGTACAACCCATGAACCACCACCACCCTCAGAACCTGACCATCCAAGCAGCCAGCTTTTCACCTGGTTGTCCATCTGTTCAGACAGTAATGGCCTCACTTGGATAGAGGGATGTAGGGGGGAGACTGTTGAAATCCTTGCTAAAGTCGAGGTAAACGACGCCCACTGCCCTCTCCTCATGCACAAATCCAGGCATTTTATCCTAGAAGGCACTCAGATTATCAGGCATGACTTCCCCTTGGCAAATCCATGCTGACTGTTCTCAATCACCTTCTTTTCCTTCATGTTCCCAGCGATGTGTTTCAGGCAAACTTGCTCCATGTTTTTTCCAGGAACCAAAATTGAGATGATACTGATTCCAAGAGACACTGAACCCCTCAGAAATGATGGGTGATGTTGGAATGAAGTTTCAAAAATTCTTCAGTTGCCCTAACGTTTAGGAATGGTGACTGCGATGCGTGTTTTTGCTCAGGCTTGCATACCGTTTTTAGAATCAGAATGTCCTGATACAAAAAAGAGGAGCTGCGCATATTTGAAGAGGGCTAAATAGTTTAAAAGAGTTCCTTTGGAGTATCTTTGATACCTTGGGCAAAACTATGAGATTTCCAGGTGATATTCTCTGCTTAGGAATTGTGATATTTCAGCCTCAAGTCAAAGAGGCAGCTATGGTCATGCTTTTGAATTTCACCCGAAAGTAGTACAGTCCCTCTCAGTTCACCAGAGAATTTGAGCCTATAATGTCCACGTTCATCTACTTCAAGTTTTTTCTGCAAAAGCGTAAATGCTCTGCTGAAAAGGGATGGGATTTTGCGTGTAAAGTCTGTGCATATGCTGATTTAGAGCTCTGCAAAAAGAAAAGAAAATCCCAAAGTCCACTTTCAGGCCTAGCCTCTTCACCCGATCTGTGAAAAGATTTGCTCTCCAAGAACAGCGCTTACAGAAGTGTTTTTGTAAAGCTGCTGGCCAGAGGAAACAAAATTTTTCTTCATACATCTTGGTAGAACCACTTTTTGATAGGACCATATTAAGAAGACTCCTTTGAGAGCGCTTCAGAAGTTGGTTATCCAGATCATTGTCCTTCTTCCACTTTCCTTTACGGGCTTTTGTCCCGTAATTTCAAGACTAGCAAGGTGTTGTTTCAGCTATGGTGGATCCTAGCATTCAGTGAACCAGAGCATTTCCTGTAGCTTAAAATTCTTTCCAAACTCTTCTTTAGCCTTTTGAAAAAGAATGGACTCGCTAAAGTCTTTCTCCATTGAGTCTATTACTTCACTTAAACTATCTTCTGTAGTTCCGAAATCTCCAAAAAGAAAAATTTGACTTTAGGCATCAAGGTTATGTGCTTTGTGTTACTTTGGGGTTCCTATCTTTATCATTTGAATATAAGGAGAACTTGAGCTTTATTAGCTCTAGATTATCCGTATAAGTTAGCGTAATAGTCCACATGACATTGCTTAGTGGAGTATTAGTTAGTGATGGGGGAGGGCAAGCGTGTGAGAAGATGGACTTGAAATTCTGATGGTCTTATTTGTTGAGCTATGTAATATTAGACAAACTGAATCCCAGATAGTGGTGCGCTCTCTCTGATACCTAATTTTCAAAGAGGAAATAACTGCTTTTAAGTAACCTGTACAGAAAACTCATGAGTAAGTAACACAAATACTTAAGCTTAATATCTCTTAGTTCTGAGGGTTTTTTTTAATAAAACAAAGTTCTGTAGAATTGTTTTTCATTTGCCTCACAAAGATTGCTTAAGAAAAGTAAAAATTAAAAGCTAAAAATTTATAAGATGTTTCATATTTTTGACAGATAAAATCTGCAAGTGAAGAGAATCTTTTAGAGGAAGTAATGAAAAGCTTATCGGAGTCTGCTGAATTGACAGGCAAGGAAAAACGAAGAAGACAGCCATCTGCCGGTTGTGGTATTGTGAGGTCATTAAGCGTAAAAAATACAGTTGATTTCTCAGATGGACGATCCATTAAACCAGAACAACTTGTAAGGCCCAGCCTTCGTAAAACTGAAGATACCTATTTTACTAGCTCTCCGATAAAATTTACGTCAGGTACTCAAGGGAAGGTCAGATTGGTTAAGGAAAAGATACAAGCAACAGTATCACAGCGGCAATCAAAAGACTGCAATCCTTATGCTACTTTACCTCGCGCAAGCAGCGTGATTTCTACAGCAGAAGGAACTACTCGAAGGACCAGCATTCATGATTTTTTGTCCAAGGACAATAGGCAGCCTGTGTCAGTTGATCCAGCACCATCTACTGCGGACAGAAGTGTTTCATCAACATCTAGTGAGTACTCTGCACACCAGCTATCTTCTAATTTTTTTCACTGTGTGGCTTACAGAGTAGATTGTGTTCCACAGAATGATATAGCTTATATAGTTAAACCAGGTAATTTAGGCTGTAAATCTGACATGCCTAAGACTTCAAGGTTGGAAAGGGCACATTTTCTTGAGAAAAACGTTGTAAGCGCGAATGTGTTGAGCGATAAAGTCGACATACCTGGTAACAATAGCAAAGGATCATTTACTGTGGCCCAAGTGGCTCAGCCGTTTTTATCCTTTAACACTGAATTAGTTAGTAATATAAGTGGATTGCCTCAGAGATCTACATCAAAAACAACTGATCAGGCGATCCTGACAACATTTAGATCTGTCCCGAAAAATCAAGATCGACCTTCTGCTAATCAGAAATCTGATCACAGTGACCTACAGTCACCTCTAACTAGTGAATTTGTTTCTACCACCTGTGTAAACGCTAGTGAGGCTGAATCTCCACTACTGGTTTCTGAAGATAATAAAACTGTATGGTATGAGTATGGTTGTGTATGATAAGGAAAATGTATTAAGTATATATGTCATATATGGCATATGGGTGTTCTCAACGTTCATCAGATTTAGAGAAAGCTTCCCTAAAATGAAGACGTCGTTTCTTGTTGGATCTGTGGCTTGTTGTTTTTTACGTGCAGTGACGTAGAGCTCGGTTGTGTACTGTAGCATGTGTTTGAATGTAAAATTGTAACCTCACCAAAGTTTGCATGAGAGATTAATTGCACTGTATAAATTTTGCATGCCTTTAAAAGTCTTTATAATGCAAACTATATTTTTGTCGCTCATTACAAATATTTTTTTTCTGTACGTTATTGAATGCATGTTAAGCCAACTGCATGCTGCATTGCCAAAACTGGCAAAATGAACTACATAATTTTCAGTGTCAAGACAGTACTTTTCAGTTGTGCTCTGGCTTTCAGATGCATAAGTAACACATAGATTATGTATTTGGAGTAGAGATATATTTTATATTTTTATTTTCCTTCTTCAAAAAAGGTGATACTAATGAAAAGAAGCCTTTGGAGAGGTGTCAGTGTCTTAGCCTTTTCAGTTATGCCATCTTTTTTTACGTGTCACTCTGCACAAGGAATGAGTTGTAGCCCAAATAATCCAGTGCCTCTAGCTTGCACAATAAATATGAATTACTGTTCATATTTATTAAAATTTTTGAATACTGTTCAGAATCCTAAACATGAACAGTAATTCTTATGAAGAGGTAATAAATAGTCAAACTATGTACAGTACTTGCAATGAAAAAGCAACCCTTTTCACCTTTTCCCTTTCATTTGCTTTATCTTCCCACACCTGGTGTACAAATGTGGTCAAGTGTGCTGTTTTGTTAGGAGTTAAGTAACGTGATAGTTTTGAGACTCCTTGCGCTGTATGATAATAAAAACCTTTATTAATTATGGTGGAAATTCATTTTTTTCTTCTTAACAGAAGTAATACTAACGTAATAGAAAACAAGATGTGTAACAAAATAACAGCAAAACTGTATTAAATATTAGTGCAACTAAAGCCAAGTAATTAAATTTTACTTACAAAATTATGTCCCTCTAAGAATGCTTGAGTAAGTCATTAGATCCCAGATGACCAGCTAAACAGAAGTATTGAAAAGTAATTACTTGATATGTCATCATCTGTGCAAGTGCTTGGAACTTCTCAATGATAAATATAAACAGAAATTTAAAAGTTAAAATATTTAAGCTGTAACTGCATGTGATTTTAGACGTGAGCACTTTTTTAGCAAGAGGAAGTAATTATGATTATCTTAGGCCAACTGCATATAGCTATAAAAATCCTGAATTGGAAAAAAATACATATATATAGAAGAAAATATTTAATGGAAAATAATGAATGTTGTAGTCTCATTTTTTAAATTTAATTCCTTTGGCCAACAGTTTTGCAGTAGTCTTGCTACTGCTGCGTGAGTTGAGCTTTAATTCATTAATGCTGGACTAGGGAGAGGTAGAAGTGCTGCAAAAATAAGAGTTCCTCAAGGGGAACACAGCAGACATCCTGTATGTTAGCCTATAAAGTTTCATACAGGAAAATTGTTAATAAAATGCAGAGAAAGTTGGATGTTTTAAACAGATTCTGTGGAGGGTGAGCTTTCTGTTTCAAAATGTAAAGCAGCCTTTCTTTATCGTGTTTGCAGACATCCATTTTCATTGGGCTGATAAATTTCTCACTTCTCTTCCGTGTTGATCACAGCGTGCTGTTTATCGTTGCTGTATTCTCGCTCAAATTATGTCTCACCGTTTAAAAAAAAAAAAAGAGGCCCCAAACCTTGAAGTATAATCCATCTCTTAATTTCACACGCATTTGCTCTTACACATTAAGTTTACTGGTCTTAGGTCACTTCATTCGGCTTCATTTCTATTAATCCATAGACGTGTTTAAATTAGTTTTGAGATGTATGGTGGTGCTAACTGAACAGATACATATTTAATACATTTTGGAAGTTATTTGAGGAGTTACAGACAAAATCTTCTTAACTTTGACAATATTTACTATAAACTCATGCTGTGCTACCACTATTTGTATTTTTTAACTGATTGCAAGCCTGGGTCATCTACTAAGTCTCCTTGTTATGATCAGAACAGGGTTTGTAGCTAGAGGTAATATCTTTTATTTAGATCAGCTGATATTGCTGGAGAAATTAGCTGAGCTTTCAGATATGCTGTTACCTCGTTTGCAAGCTCTGTCTTGCTTGTGTCCTTAGCCTGGTAATGGCTACAAAAAATACAAGTATTGTCTCCAGATATTTTTGTTAAGAACCATCCAGCACTACCACTGAACCCCTGATTGTAATCGTGAGCACAGCCAAGCTCTAAAGAGAAGTTTTTAAAGATTACCCCTGTAGAGTGAAGTTAAAGCTTATTATCAAAGCAACAAAAGTAGTTTTTTTCAGCTGCTGCCCATGGGGCACTTCAGTATACGTTATTTTATTTCTTTTCACACCACTAAGTTTTCTCACACAAAACTAAATTTGACAGTGAATACTTATATCTGATATTTAATACCTTTTTAGCCTCACCGTGTTTTACGCCATCCCATCATGTTGGGGGCAATGTTAAAACGATTTGTTTCACAAATGCAAAGGGTTTCTGAGTAACTGAGAGTTAGTATCTTTGAACATCATATGCTCTCATTGGATTCTAGACTAATCTCGTCCAGCTCAAACTACTGTTTTGCATTTTTTTCAAATTTGTAATAAATTAATTACATTTCAATTATGAGGATACTAACTTAAATTTTTTGCTCCATTGAATTCCGCTGGAGCAGAGGAAGCATGTTGCTAGAGACTTTTTAATGTCTTTGAAAAAGAAATTGTTGTCGACTTTTGTTTACTGTATGTGAAAGAAAACAAATGTTCTTATACACGGAAGAACAGTTCTGCCACCGCTTTTTGGTCTTTATGCTTCAACAATGCATACAGCATGGCTGTCTCTTTTGGTTTGTACTACTGCTCCTAGGCCATTCAAATGGCTAAATATAAAACACACAGTACAACTTGCTCGTTCCTTGGTCACTGCTGCCTTTAGAAATGATAAGTTATGTTTTTGCATGGTAATTATAAAACACTAAACAAGTGGCCACCAGCTGAAAAGGGTTCTGTTGTGAGTAGGTTCAGTTATTTGCTTGCAGTGAAAGGTTTGCTTGATGCTTTGCTTTAAGTGAACAGTAAATTAGGATACTGCATTTTGCATGTTCAATCTGTTGCATGCAAAGATAACTTTCTACTTTGCAGGACTGAATGTGAACCTTTCTGTGAACGTGTGACAGGTTAAAAATGCAAAGGAAGATGGCTTAAGTTCTCTCCTAGGTTCAGCAAACCTTGATTATGTCTGGTATTGTTTTTCCTTCTGATACGCACAGAAATTTAGGCCTCGTATGTATAAAAGTTGAGTGTATCTGCTTGTGACTTTAAAAATAATACCTGAGTATTTTGAATGCTAGGATGAATTTTAATGAGTGTAGGTGAGTAGATACCTCCAGTGAATTTCTTCCATCCCTCTCCACTGTCCTTTCCTCTAAAAAATGTGTTTGTATATCTTTTTGCTCTACTAATAGGTAGAATGTATGTTAATGCGTGAGGGTTTTTTCAAGTCCTGATAAATACAATGAATAACATGAAATGCTTTTCTCTGCAGATGTGGAAGCTATACCAGAAAGCAGAAATGCAAAAAGCAGGTCTAGGGAGCAACAAAGCTCCTAATTCTATTACCCACTACATGAGATGTGGGCCAAGTGGTGAGTTTCCTGCCCAAAATGTAAATGAGATTAATTTCATTTACAACAAACTAACAGCATTACATGTAAGAACAAGTGCACATTGCATTAACCAGATGTAAATACTGCTTGCTTAACTGGCTTCTATCTTGCTTATTAGTTAAGCCAGAACAGGCTGTTTTAGTTCAGTTATTTTGCCTATATACGCAGGGGACATCATCCCGTTTCTCATTTTGCCTGTAATAATGCCATTTTTGTTTTTCAAATTTCTCTCTAAGAGGAAAGTTCAATAAAATCAGATTGTTCAGTAAATTGAAGCAGATCTCGGAAAGTAACAGATTAAAAGAACAGTTTAACAAAACAGTTTAGTTTTATAAACTGTTCTATGCTATAGGGAAAGTGCCTTTATAGAAAGCTTGTCTTTGGTGTTCTGTCCTTCTCTTGACCTCATTAAAACATCTTTGGTGCATGCTGTTAGTGCTGTTAGTTCTGTTAGTTACTTAACTCTGTATTTTAAAATTCTACGCTTTAAGCTTTTCTTATGTTCTCTCTCCTTTTTCTGCCTTTCAACTGAACACAGAGAGAAAAGTGTCCTTCAGTATCTCAATAAGAAGCCTTTATTTCTGAAGTAACAAGACAGCGACTGTAGGAGTCATTAATAAAAATTAAGGGAATTTTTTTACAATTCTTCATGACTAGAGCAGGCAAGAAATAAAAACCTACCTACCTACCTTCCTTCCTTGAATCAAGGAGCTCTACTGGAGTCTACTGCCGAAAATTGTTAAATGGTCTTAGGAATTATTGCACATTGCACTGTTAAGATCTACTGAATAAAGGACAGTTCTCATCTCTCTAAGGACCATGAATTTTAAGGTATCAAGAATTGCTCCAGGAAAAAAATACTTCTTTCTTCTTCTGTTTATGAAATTAGCCACTGATTTGCTTAAGCTTCCGCTAGTAATTAGCCAAAAACACCCCATAACTAGCAGTTTATGTTTAGTTCTGTAAATCTGCAATAAATGCTGTAGTATTTTGTTGAAATTGACTGTATATACAGATACAAAAACCTCACAGCTTACTGGCACTTCACTGCCTTATTTGGTTAGCGTAATCCGCATGAAATTGCTCTGAAAAAAAAGTTTATGCTGTTTTTTCTTTTTTTGCGTACTGCAAGAGAAAATTCTGTTTACATATGTGGAAAAAATTCAATAACTAACAAAATGGGAGTTATGGAATATCACATTATATGGAAGTTAATGTTTGTCGCTTGTGTTCTTTACATTCCCAAGTTATTCTGCGTATATATATATTCAGATGTTTTTGACAGGAAATTGTCAGATATGATTTTTCTATAACTTTGGTTTTTGTTTTTTTTAATAAGGTTGTTTTCAACAAATGGCATTTCCAGGATAAGATTGTCTTATGATGTTTGTGTGTTAACTAATTTCTTTTTTTTTATTGTTTATCTTTTGACATGAGCTGATTGTGGCTTAGGAGATTTCTTAATGGCAAAAAGAAATGTAAATAATATCATATGCATTTTACAATCAATCCCCCTAAGGTTATCTTTTTATTAGTAAGATATGTTTTGTTTGTTATTGATTCACATTAAAGTCAACAAATGTTATTGGTACTTTTAATGCTTGTATACATTTGTTGTCTTGAAAACATTTGCGGAGAGCTCAAAGGAAGCCTGATCTAAAAAAAAAAAAAAAAAGCAGATCTAAAATTTTATTAACTATCACAATTTTCTTTTGTTGCAAATCAATAAGCACATTTATATTTCTGTTTTAAAGATGTAAGTTAACAGCGTAGCCTCCCAGTGTCCAGTCTTTCAAACAGGCACATACGTAACTTTCACCTACAGCTATCTCCATTCACATAAGTAAAGGTAAGCATGACTAAATATTTGTAGAACTAGGGTTACAGGCTGCTTCTCAGTTGAATCACGCTACTGCTTTGACGGTATGAGAGAGCTGCTACAACTGACTTTAACCTAATAATAACTTGTTTTTTTGAGGCTTTCAGGCTTTAACATTTGTAAAGTCTCAAGCTGTCAGTGACTAATGGGAACAGAATCATCTTTCACTCGACAATGCAGTTCGATAGATGTAAAAGCATCCCAGCAAGTCACTTTGATTGAACTGAAATTTTGTCAAAAAGGGGAGAAAAAGGAAAGGTCGGTCAGCTTTAGAAAGGGAAATGTTTATATTCTTTTTCTTAAGGTGATTTCATCATCAGCACTTTTTTTTCCTGATAGAAAATGTTGCAAGTTCAAGAATCAAAACAGAATACTTTCTTTTGACGCTATAAATGTTTATTCAGCCTGAGATTTTCTTCCATGGCGAATGAAAACTACTTTTTAAGTGAAACAAGACAAATTTTGCAGCTCTCCACCATATAGAATTTCCATTCTTTGTATATTTCTAAAGACATTTCTGGTATTTTATTAAATCCATGGGTTTATTTTGATTGCCAGCTCATACAAGCATCCAGTTCTGCTCCCCTTATTCTCAGTGTCAGATTCTCACTGATTTCAGTGGAAGCATCATGAGCTTTGCAGGGTATCAGCACTCCGCTGAGCAATCCCGTGAGTGGTCAGAAGCCCGGAGCACTCCTGAACTCCAGCACTATTCAGCCATGACGTTTCTGTGAGCGGCCTGATATCAGTTGCATATGAATTAATTTCCCTGTGGTAACGGATATCATGACATCCCTGAGAGGGATTCAGGGCATTCCAGACTGTGCAGTGACAGCTACCGGATGTCACCAAAATGGCAGGTGAGATGCATGGCACTGGCTAGAGCAGGTGCAGTTTGTCAGGGCCTGTATATACTACTACAGGTAATCCAGGTGTTCCTGAATGCATTTAAAGCTCGGGGCATAGGTGAGTTTTTCCCACAGTACCAAATGAGCCAGACATAGGCCTGACATGCTCTAGGAGAAAAGTATTATAAGCAGTGAGAACTTGGTGTTAAGCCTGATTTCTGTGCCGTTCCTTTACTGCAATGTAAGCAGCTATGAAGACTGAAGGAAAAGCTGCCTTTACATAATTTAGTACACATACAAAGTCTCTAATGCCACTAGCCATTATTAAAAAGATAGCTGTTATGAAAGAGAATTGAAATGCCCTAAATATTAGGAAAACATCTCTGATTTTAAATTCTTCCACTTTCAGACTCGTTTCAGGGTCTGATTGTTACTGGATTCTCTTAGCTCTCCTTGAAAACATTGAGGATTGATACATTTCACACTATTAAACCCTAACTTACTAATAGTGTCGCTGTTTTTCAGATGAGCATGCATGTCCTGAATTAACAGATTTAAACTGGAGTGCCAAATGCTCTTTGTATTCACAGAATTTGTGCAGTTGTATATGCTTAGCTGTATCAGATGCTCAAAGATCCTGGGAACGTATGCGAGAATGGCACATTACTGTGGCTGTTGCATGGCGCTTGGTCTCATCTTCTGAGAGAGACGCTGTTGGGTACGCTTAAGCTTCTGTGCTCACCATGTGTGGCTGTGTCGTTTTTTCTCAACATGGGTGTCTCCTGATTTTTCATTTTTTACCTCTTTTCTGTATTCATCAAGTTGTCCAAGGTTGCCTGTCGCAGTTTCCTACCTTTGCTTTGTGCGTGTTGTTACGCCTTTTTTTAAACATCTGTGCAGTCACTACCAGGGTTTAGTTACAAACGATATTGTTACTATTAAGCTGATAATGTGTATTAGAAGTGAAATCCTTTCATGAAAAATGTAAGTCAAGTTTTCCTCGTTTGAGGAAATAAGCATGGATTTGAGAGAGAGGCAATAAAATTCATCCTTAAACTTCCTACTAGGTCGGAGTTCAGCATAGGTCAGATTTGTGTGCAGTAGTCCTGACTGACTGTATGCCGCTATAAGCAGGTTTCAAGCCACTTTATCCACATCAGTACAGAAGCCAGAGCTTTTTTTTTATTTGTATTCACTAAGTTAGCCAAAAACAACACAGGAACACATTTGCATTTAGGAGATCGAAATCTACTTCTCCCAACACTGTCTTGTGCAAAGCAGTTCCAGAACAGAGGAACAGTCAGGAGGGTTCTCCATGGTCTGATTTTTTTTTTTTTTTGAACTATACAAAACTTACATAAAGCATTTCAACTTTTCAGTTTATGCCCTTAAAAAAAAAAAAAAAAAAAAGGGACAATTTATTTCATTTGGGAGACACTTCAGCTTTTCTGAAACAAATTCCCAGGGGAATAACAGCTGCTGGGCAGCATACAGTAAAACTGCCCAACAGTTGCCAAATCTGTCACTGTAAGTTCAAGATAACAAAAGATGTGGTGATACCGTACAATATATAATTTGCATTTACTTTTCTGATAAAGCTTAGTGTGCTGGAGATTTGCTAACATTCCCAGCGTGTTTTTTTTCTTTTTTTTTTTTTTTTCAAGACATGATGCAGCCTCAACAAAGGAGCTCATGTGTGATTCTTAGAGTTAGATGATAATGTATATGTAAATAATACTTTGATATTAATAAAACTGCCTTAAAGGAATGTACCTAGGTGTGAAACAGAACTTTTAAAAGCTCTTATTTAAAACTGTAATTTCCTTTAAGTATTGATTGAGGAACTTTTTAATGATTGCCATTGTGTACATTTACTAATATGTTATTAAAATGCCAAACCAAATAATTTTTATTCTTATTCTACGTGTGTACGTTTATGCACACTTTTTCTGGAAAGTGATGTTACTGGAAGGATGTTGGTGTTAAGTAATGGCTTTGTGGTCAGTTGGTAATGTGTTCAGTATTTCTTCTGGAAGGCAACCTATAAAACTGTAGCAGAATTCTTCTGGACAGTGTGTAGTTTGTTTTGTGCTGTTTATTTGTGAAGACCAGTAGCTTTGAACTCTACATTATTATAGTATTACTTTAAAAAGACATAAGGAAATGCAGGAGGAAATCATTACACGTTTCCCCAATGCAGTACTTGAAGCTTTGATTTTGCTTGGCCATTATTTTTGCTGAGACAAGCCTCAGAATTACTTTCCAGGGAAGAAGATAGTTAAATTTTAGATTGTATAGACTTTTAAGATTTGTGAAGCATAGTAAACTGCACTGTTATGCACGTCTTTCACATTTAAAGCTTTCTGGATTTAAAAAGCAAAGTTGACAAATTTACTCTAACTTTTTTTTTTTTTTGGAAGTGATAAAGGATTTGGGGTACCTCAAAGAAGAAATCTTAAAGGGAAGGGAGTGTGTGTGTCAGGCAGTGGGTAAGAAGACCTTTAACTTTTACAGACGCTTGAGCATGTATCTTAACATCTTACTATTTTAGTAACAAGTTTGTTAATCCAGAGTTCTTTAGGCAATTCATTAATTAACCTGCTTCGCAAATATCAGATGTTCCTCTCAGTTTTCTATTTAACAACAAAATATAAAATCACAGGTACCTGGACAGTTTTCTAGTGACTTCCTATAGGTTTCTATTTGTTGAACACTTTCTGGGTCACATTCTTTGCATTTGATAAAACTGCCATTGTAGATGGGGTTGTTTTGTATCTTTCTAGACAGGAGAATTTGAACTGCTGTATTATGGAACATTTTGTAGATCAATTCACATCTCTGAACACAGGTGCCAAAATATTCTGAAATGAAGGGGAACGCGTTAAGGTTGTTTGTCAAGTAACTTGCGTTGCCCTAGAAGATGCTTTCTCTTCAACTAGTTAATGGTAGTTGTTCGTTCTATAGAATTTAAGATCTCATTTTCTTAGTAGAAAAGAACATAACTGTTGATGTTCTTAGCTCATAGAACAGCCTTGGCAATATATAATGAAACAGTCCAATTGGTTTGATTTTGCCTTGTCTTTATTTGAAATGTTTCATTTTATCACTTTTACTACTAGGTCCTTCAGTATGATGTAGTAGCAAATAGTAATCCAAGATTGCAAGTCTTTTTATGTCTTCTTTTATTCCATTTTCTGTATTACATTTGTTTTCTGTCTCAACCTGTGTTCATACTACTGTTTGCCTTTTAGGCATATTTCTTACATGAGTAGACATTTTCATTAGGCTCTTTTCGGCAGCCTTTTTTCCTGTCATCTTCAAATTTTGTCCCTCACTTTCACAGCTCCCTTATCCTTGGGTTTTATATGGGTACTCATTGGCACAGTATATTTACTGGACTTTGTGGAGTTTCTGCTGCTTCTCTGTCTTTGATACAAAGAAAATCTATTTGAAAGGAGTTTTATTCGTTCAGGAAGGAGAGGAGAAGGAATTTATTGGGAGGAGAAGGAATTTAATAGATTAGGAATTTAATGCTGAGAATGTGTTGGTCTTGTTCTTGCGATAGTAGATGCCTTTCTGTACTAAATAGATATCATCTATTTAATGCCAAATCAGCCTCCCCACAGCCTCTTAAAACACATGGATGTTTCTGTGTGCAGTCCCCCTCTCCTGTGCAGAAGGGAATGTCTCAGGTACATCTGCTGTTGTACCTTTCTTCCCATTTCTGTAGGTGCTTCCTGTATGCTGGCTAAGGCTACAGTGCAGCAGAGAACATGCATGTCCTCCACTGGTGCGTGAATCAGTAGAAATTGTATACAGAAGTTAATACAGTCCCTGCTTGTATTAACTTTCTTCCCAGTTGTCACCAGCAAATCACCAGCAAGTCACCAGCAAATCCTATACCCAGCCAGGAGCCTGCAATACTATTACTCCTTAAGAGTTCTGCCAGAAGAGAGACTGGTACCAGTGATTCACACCTCTGTATAATCTGCTTTTAGATTCCTTCCTCACGTTTTGCTGTTTTTGGAGAGGCTCTAAAAATGGATGAGGCACACTGTCTTAATGGGACAATTTGTGGCTGTGTCACCTGAAATTACTGGAAGAATATTCGTAAAGTTTTCCCAAGGGCAGGATACTGACTGTGAAAATGAAAATGCAGCTACAAGTGTAGACAATCAAGTATGTGTTTGGTAGCGTAACTAAGCTCCCCCCCTTCCCCCCCCCAGCCCCCAGAGAAATTAATAAAAGGAAAGCAAGGTAGTAGGGGATAGATGGGTACAGGTACACAGTCTAGACATTTTTGTTCTAGGTGTTATTGCTGAGTATTTTAGAATTTTAAGTTAATTCAGTATTTCTTAATGATGTTATCTTACGTTTCAGTATTTCGAGCCCAGTATCACATACTGAAAGGTCCAGTTTTATTGGTTTTATTATTAAACACTATAACGTTATTTAAATAAAACCTTTGTCTGCGCACTGGTTACTTAGTGGTAGAATGCAAACATATCTTTTCTCATAAAGAATATTCTGTTAAACTTTTAATAACCTGAAGACACTATTTTTTTCACCAGATTATAGAATACAAACATGCTTATTTTTTCAAATTGTATTTGTAATGAAACTTCGCTAGTTTTGCTCTATAAAATCTATGCCTAATAATAATAATAATGGGAAATTTATCTACTTTATATTTTCATCAAAATGTATGATTATTGGATCATGTCCTGTTGATTTCACAAACTTCAGAAAGTCTTCAGGGCTTAATCCCATGGTCGCAGAATTTGTCATTGGATGAAAATACACCTTTTCATGGCCACCTTCCAGAAAGCCAGCATCCAGTACAAACTTCACGTCTCCTTGGTCATAGAAGAGGGCTAGCGGCGTGGCACATCCTTGACCCACTTTTAGTTTTTCCAACATGGCATTTTCGTCAGCAAATCTTAGATTTCCACTCCCAACCCCCAATTTTTTAGCAAGATCATTTAAATCAATCTGCCTGTTGTGTAGAACAGTCACCAGCCAGAACCCTTTCTTCTTTTTGTCTTTAAGAAAAAGGTTTTTACTGTGACCTCCTTTCATGTGTTGGACATGAGGCATCATTTCTTCAACAGTGAATACCTGGAAAATACAATTAGTATAGTGTGAGACTCTATATCCCATTAGATTTTTCGTTGCTTATTGACAGGTATCTTTTGTTAAGTATTTAGAAAATACTGAATGTTATACTCAGCCTAAAAACTGTACCCTTTTATGAAGAATTTTAAAAGAACGCAAATAAAATGTGACGTACTGGTCCTGCAGACTTTCTCAGTCATTTCTCTCTGTATACAGCAAGCGTATCACACTTACAAAGGGGAAAAGGCAGCTCTGACAGCACTGTTTTGTGCAGATTCACCATGCGTGGATCATTATGATACGGTATATGTATTTTGAATTGGGAGTGAGAGGAAGAAATTTGGAAAGGGTTGTGCATCTGTTGCATTTTCTAGACTCAGGTTTTGCAATGAAGTGCACCAGTCCAGTGTTGGCTGGCGGACTTAGATGCTGAGAAATTTGCTATAAAGTAGTGCATCAGCACACTGTAGCTCTTGAAACAACAGGGGAATTCTCAAAACAGTTACAAATCTTATCTGCTAGACTCAGGATTCACAGGTACACTTTAAGAGAAATACAAATTTTGACAATTTTGAGACTGATTCTTAGTTATGTTTAAAAAAACGCATATGCCTAAATCTGTCCTGTACTCTTTTTTTTGTCCTGCCATAAGTAGAATTTTACTTCTGCATCGAAAAAAAAATCGGAAGGATGTAAGGAAAAAGCATTGGTAAAACTACTCTTGGAAGGTTTAAATGGCAAAAGTACCTGGAGAGGATTTTAAAGCAGAGTAACTTCTTAGTGCACGCAGACGTGCAAGTTCCAAACATGCTTTTGAGAGTGACAAGCTTCAGGGGCGGGTTTCTTCCTCTGCCTCCTGGCCCTGGCCCTGGCCCTGGCCACGCAGGCACTGCTGAGCTGGCTCTGGCTGCCCCCCACCCACAGCCCTGTCCCGCGCCCCAGCCTACCTGCTCCCGCCACGCCGCCTCCCGCCCACCCGCCACGCCACCCGCACGTCACCAAGCGTGAGCTTTGGCGTTACGGAAAGGACGCTAAGGCGCAACCTTTTCTGACCGTTTGCACGATACAGCGTTCTTCCTCTGCCTTTCGTACGAGAAACTAGAGCGTGTCTCTGCTGCAGAAGAGCCTCTGTTAAGTAGCAGAGGCTGACGCGACTCTAAGGAGAGCCGCCGCGGAGCCGGCAGGTCCCCCAGGGCCAGGGCAGCAGCCTGGGAACCAGCTGGGCCACAGCGGCCTCAGCTGCTGAGGGAGATCCCCAGCTCTGCCGGTGTAAACGAAACGCCTTGAGTTTTGTGTCTCCCGTGCTGGAGAGACTCGTGCAGAGTCCACGTGACTTACCTTTCTTTGTGCGCTCCCATTTCAGAGTGATTTGCCAGCTTGGATTAAGAATTCAGAAACTACTCCGGAAGCCGATACGCTCTGATGAAGGGCTGCGTTTGCCAGCGAATAAGGCCTGTGAACAGTTTGGAATGTATTTGCATTAATTTTTGATAAGGAAAAAAACCCCTAAGCTTCAGACTTAAATGTAATAACTGAATGCATTCATGCAATAATCCTGTAATTGTTCTAAACTTTTTTTTTTCTTTTTAAGTTAGATGTAAAGTTTGTGAACACAGCGCGCACTTCAAATAATTAGCAGTCTCAGTCATCTGGTCAAACTTAAAGCAAGGTCAACTGAGATGAGGTTGCTGAGGTCCATGCCATAAAATCATAAAATAAGATTTTGAATAGTATCTAAGACGTTGTTCTGTTCCGTGCTCTGCAGGTAGATGAACAGAAGTAATTTGCAGGGACAATTAGCAATGGTATAAACCTATCTGCTAGCTATGAGTATGACAAGAACAGTTACATCTGTTCAAGAGTGTGCTCAGAAATGCAAGCTGCTTTAATCATACCAGGGAAGTGGATGTTATAAGCAAATTTCGACTCAAAGAATTTGAGGTATCTTACATGATTTAAATGTTAGGCCACATCAGAGAAGCCATGACGTTGTCTACAAGGTAAAGACAAGACAGTGTTAAGGTATAAGGGTCTGCCGTAGGTCAGAATTTGAGGAAAAATTAGAGACCAGATCTTGTTGTCTCCTTAAGAGACAGAAAAATGTGTCTGAGGCGTAGGGAAGGAGGTGGAAATCAATCCTTGCTATGCAACAAACAGCTTCAGAGCCTTGCTCCGCTTCAGAGCATTGACAGCCCTCCTCCATACCACTGCCAAATACGATGCCCCATCCAGCACTACCAGCATGTGCCTCTCCTGCCTTACACCCCCATGAGCTAGCTGCCTTCTTCCTTCAGCCTCATATAGCTGGAGAACAAATTTCTCTTTAGCACTCCTCCGTACAGGCTCCCAGTGCCACCTCTGAAAGCTACATCATTCAATAATATTTCATGTTTTTAAAAAAAACAACCAACTTGTCTCCTTCCTTGTCAAATACTGAGATTAAAATAATATATTACCTTGATTACCCATACAGTGTTTTTTCACATCTGTGGTGTATTCAGTTTTCCCATACTATAGGCCAAAAAAAAAAAAGTTGTAATGCAGCAGAAAGATGTGTATCTGAGAATCAGATTGCTATGTTCCTGCTACAAGTTGCAGACTACGTCCCAGCTAACACGATGTAGGATGTGCTGCCTCCCACACAACACATGTAGACCTGGGATAGAGGAGAGTGTTATACACCTGTGGCCTGCTGGGATCCGGGATCCCTTCCTTCTTGCCTTCTTTTGAGACTAACAGCGGAAACAATTTATAGTGCTTCGACTGCCTTGTTGAGTCAAAGCGGCATCTAGCTACATCCACCCTTTCCTTTGGTTTGCCCTCTATGTTCTTGAATTTTCCAACAGCCATCACAGCAACCTCTCCTTTGACTTTCTAAGAGAGGTGAGTATGTATTTGCTGATGTCTTGAAGTTTCACGGTTTGAGTATTTCAGTAATAGCCGATAAAGCTTGATGAAACTCAGAGGAAGGATGTATTTTTATTGATTAAATATAAATTTTGCATACAGTAATGAAAACAACACTTGTTTGCCACAATGGTTCATAGAAACACCTGTGTGCCTACCGTAATTTCGCATGCTAGTATGTTGCCTATGAACAGTTTCACTGAAAATGTTGCTTCTAAATAGTGAAAAGTTAAGAAAAGTTCAAAGCTAGAAAAATCATAATATATAAACCATTTAGCTGATGGTACTTACTGAAAATGAGAACTACATAGTCAATTTTTTTTTAAAGGGCAACCAATAATAGTTAAGAGTTGCAACTAATGGACAAAGCAAAGAATTAACAGCCACATAGTTCAGCGGAAAATATTTCTACATCCCAAACCATCATCCTGACCTATGAGATCAGAAATTATTTGTTTCCAATTTACTCGTCCAAAAAACAGGCAATCTATAATAAAACTTTAAATTAAAACAGTATGAATCGGCGGTTAAAAGACGTGGATAAAATAGGATCCCACGTTAAGAGCTTTATAGCAGGAACATTTCCAGACATTACCAAAAGGAAGCTTAAGTCAAAAAGCAGATTTATAGTATACTCTGGTGACTGTTTTGCATTGTAAATTTATCTTTCAAATAAAACGTTCCTCGGGTCAGCCAATCCAAAACTCACGGCATGAGTTCCACTGCCTGAAGGGTCTCCGCAACCTTTGCCTCTGGGCTGACAGTTAAGTGATGCACCATGTTTTCACCTGATTTTTCTTCCCCTGTAGGAACACGGACTGCGTATCACTTTTGGGTCTTTCCTAGAGCCTTTCATATTTAAGTAGTGTTTTTACTATGGTGTAGTTCTGAGATTACTTTTTCCCCTTTGACATCCCAAGGTCTTAGCAGATACAAGCTACAGCCAGCTCAGTTTTGAGAGCCTTTATGCACAGCTGTGACAACGCACACCTTGCGCGGCAGATCAGCCTTATCTGAATTTCCTTTTAGGAGAGATTTTAATTCACAGACACAACTGGAGAACTACTCAATGCATCCTTAAAAAAAAGGGGGCAGCAGGGGAGACCACCTTAGTGCTATAGTGGTGCCACAATGTACATTCACAAACAACAGAAAGCAGGCTTAAGTTTAAGTGGTTATTAGTTTTATTTTCTCCCATTTTCTTAGTTTGCTTATACAGGTAGGAATATATATATATTTTACTTTTTATTTTATTTTTTTGGTAACAGTTGTGAAAACCTCCTTAAGCCTTCTAGACTAAACCTCCGTACTACAGGCAGAGTGTGTAAAACACAGTTTGAACCTACAGAGAGGATAGTATGGTATTACTCGTAACACAATTTGTAATAGCCTGATATATAGATCACTATACGAACAGTACTGTCCCATAAGCACCCTAAGATTAAAGGACGTCTTATGATGTAACCTGGGATTATCTCTGGGTTTTACAAATGGTATTAAAAAGAAACATTAAGGATTTTTCCAAAACTACATACAAACCTTCCTCTTAGAACTTGTTCTAGTCTATTAAACTGATGTTATTTCAGAGATGCCAAATTAGAACTTCTATTAAAAAAAAAAAAAAATCAGTTGAGCCGTTTTAAAAGCTTTAGATTGGGGGTGGGCTTTGGTGGCTTGCAAAGCAAAGCAAGCATTTTCCTGGTATGCAGGAGAACCCCAAATTTAAGCACATAAAATTACGAGGACAGCAAGGCCACCCCGAAATGAAGCAGCCTGAATTCTCACGCAAAGACCCTGACGCTTGTACAGAACCTCATGCCAAAAAAGCCCTTGGCAAGCGTTAAGCAATTTATTTTCGTCAAGGCCCTGCCCGGTGATCAGTCTCTTTCCGCAGGCCGCTGCCGCCGCCCCACAGCGGCGCCCAGCG